ACTCTCTGTGGTGTGGATATGCGCTCTGTGGAGAGGGTAAACTCTCTGTGGTGTGGATATGCACTCTGTGGAGAGGGTATGATGTGTCCTGCCAGGAAGTGTCAAGTCTTGCTGTTTATTTCAGGGATGGGCAGCAGTGACGAGTGGTCGGAGTTTCATGATATCTTTGACTCCACCCCGGAGCCAGACATGTGTATGGACCCCCGCATTTACGGTGGTGGAAATAGGTACGGCACCTCAAGACTTCCCTTTAACACTGACCGCTCTACAGACACAGGACCCCAAGATTTCCCTTTGACACTGACAGCTCAAAAAGAGCAGCACCCTAAGACTTCCCTTTAACACTGAGCGTCAACAATACCCACAGCTGGAATACTGTGGCTGGAAATGAAACTTTTTCACAAAAATACAGGTTTACCTGTTTAGCTGTTCAGGCCTAATGAGTAGCTTAACGATGGGATATATGTCTTATTCTAATGTTTCATTAGAATCTAAATTGTTTAAGGTCAAATGGCCACATTATGAAAAATAAATTCAACTACATCTCATTAAACTTTCCCAGTGTAATGTTTCAAAGCTGCCTTTTTAAAGGTCTTACGAATGTGCATTTACAAAAAAATGCAATGAGACATATTCAGAAGATGTTATTTCTGATCAGCTCTATATTGTGTTATCAAGAGTTGTTCTATTTGCTGACGATGGGCTAGGAAAATCACACTCTGTTCCATCCTTCTGTTATGCAGCAGACAAGAAACTCTGGACTAGCACGTACAAAACAGTCATTTTAGCGCTGCCGTCTGGGATTAACCCCCGTGTTTCCTCTCATATCCAGCCCTTCGCAAGGCATTGTCAACGAGGCCTTCGGCATCAACACAGACTCGCTGTACCACGAGATCAAGGACACAAAATCCGACATCATTGGAGACGTGGACGCTGGGGCTGAGCTGCTTGGTATGTGGACCTGGTCTCAGAGGTGGGGCCGTGTGACTGTGGTTGCTGGGAAGTTGTCTCATGATCAGACAGCTTATCTGTCTGCTCACTGATTAGTCTAAAAGGCAAGTGAAAAAGTGACTGTACCCAGCCAGACAATGACACCATCGCTAGGCCTACAATACATAGTGTTTAATGCACCCAGAACCCCAAGGTTTGCCTTGTGCCCTCTGAGGTTTCTCCTTTCTGTGAGTGTGACACTCCATCTCACTAAAGGGGACCGCGTGTGTTTACCCAGCAGAGTTATAGAAGACCTGCTGTGTAAAGGTAAATAGAAAATCTGATTCCAGGATAAGACTGACAGCTCAAATGCAAAGCCATCTGGAGAGAAAGACGGCAACACAGCTCTCGGATTTACTTTCTTCAAGCGTTCCTCTCCAGAAAGTTAGGAGTTCTCGTCTCTAATATCTGGGGTCTTCAAGTTGCCATTTACTCTACTGGCTGTATCACGTCATCAAAAAGAAACATATTTGACCTTCCAAATGTATGAGTTGTAAATCGCTTTTTACTATGACAGACCTGCAAAATGTTGGGTCATGTTAATGAGACACATTAATCACTGACAGTATTTTTGTTTGTTTCAGAGCCACAGGAGCTTCTCTAGTGCAGATAGGCTGGAATATTTTGAATACTTTCATGGGATGTGTGCTACAGTCTTTGCACATTTTGGGGTGGAGATTAAAAAATAACTGTGCCCTGTAGAAACTTAGTTGATGGGCCCTCTCATTTCTCTGGCTGAATCCAGTCTACTCTGGAAAAGAAACTCAGCACATTCACCAATGACCTCTCACCAGGCTCCCAGACGCAGCACAAAGGCCGGTATACTGTCATATTTGGGTAATTTAAGAAACGCTTCGACATTCCTGTTGAAGACACTGGAGAAGCAGGCCAGTCCATTAACTTCGAAGAGGTAGCCCATGATGGTAACATCACTTACAGCCACCCACCCACCCTGACGTAGCACCTCTAAAGTGACCACTGCAGGGGTGGTTTTAAGACTTTATGTTAAGTTTTGTGGCAGTTTTGTAACAGCTATAAGGTGGCACCATAATCTTCCAGATTTTAGGAATCTGAAATAATGCACTCTTACAGCATTTATACATACCTGCAGTGTCAATCCTTACATTCTGTGACCCTCTTTCATTTTAATAAGACTTTTTGTTCCTTGACAGGGCATTTCTCGGTCTGAGTACATACCTGACAATACAAACACGCAGAGCATACATTGCAGTAGGCAAGATTGTCTCATTTTCACTGTTTCTGACACAGTCTGAAAATATGGCCAAAACATAAATTGCAGTGGTGCATAGCCAGAAAAAAACGAACAACATTTTGTTCTGTGAGAGGTAAGCAACAACCAGAAAAACAAAAACTCCTTTTTGTCCTGCAGCAGAGAACTTTTGCAACTTGATCCGATAATGTGCCGTAAATATCACAAACAATAAGCCCTTATAGACTTAAAATCGTTAATGTTGACATTAATATCATGGAAAGATTTATGGACTCCTGTAACTGCCACATGAAATGCAGTGGTGAGTACCAGGGCGTGCACATTAAGGATTGTTCAATTAATGGGATTTAAAGACCTAATCGCTAATGCTTTATAACAGCAATACAGTCTTAGCATTTAATCTTCTATGACACCTTTTCACAGTAAGGTTGTGCACCCATTTGTGCTATTTTATAGAACACAATAAATACAAAAGCACAGCTTAAAGTCAGATTTAAGAATCATTACATTGAATATTTAAAAATTGAACGAGCTAATGCTCCATCAGTGACAGCAGTCCGAAATCTGCCACCAAACGTAGTTTTAGTTCTGTTCCAGCCACATAATTGTCCATGTATCATTTTGACAGTTTGATTAAGACAAACGTGCCAAGCTATGATAAAGATGTGCGTGATTTGTTCTATATGAATTTAATTTGAGTGTTACCTGAGAACTCTGCAGATTTGATCAATCCTCTTAAACTCACCAGTCATTTCAATTTCAGCCTTACACTATGTTCTTTTCTATGGCATTGTACATTGTGGTTGTGGGCTAATGACACGTCCTAAACTTGAGATCTCGCAGAGACTATATATATATACATTGTGAAATACAGGCTTGTTCATTCATTGCCGGCAAGGCTCCTGAGAAATCATGCTTTTGCCTTGTTCATTGATGTATGCTTATTTTGTTTCCTTTTTTTATTATTCTGATTTTGTTTTTCCTTTGAGTCACTGATTGACCCTTTTTTGCTTCCTTCTTTTCTCCCCTGTATGTGCTTCTGCTGGACACGCCCATAGGGGAGTTCTCAGGTGTGTATCTGCCCTCGGGATTGGTTGGTATCTCTTTTCTCCTATTGGTATACACGTGACACTCCCCAGCTGCTGTCCAATCACTGCAAGCTTTCCAGCCTCTGTCCCCGCTGCACCCTGACCTCCCTTGATGACACCTATTCAGAATGCAAGCTCCTCAGGAGGGACGAAAATAGGACAACTGCACACCCTTGCTGGTGCAAAATGAATATCCTTAGAACAATCTGACAGGTTACAATATGAGGTTCAGTGCAGCTGAGCCTTTTTAATTTAACCTGCAAGAGGGACAGTAGAGAAAAGAAAATAGACTAGATCTGTCTTTTGTAACTTGTAGTGATCAAAGATATACTTTAATCATCAGAATCCCTGATTATTTGAGGTTTATACAGAGGAATGGGTCCTGGGTCGAAGGGGGATTTCCAGATCCCAGTTGGTTGTACGGGGACAGTTGGTTGCAGGAGCCTAGAATTCCAGAATGGGGTGTCCGATGAAAATTAGGCAGAAGAAAAAAAAATCCGAGCAAGTCAGGTGCCTTATTACACAGAAGTGCTTGTTTTTAAACCGATTTTAAATGGAACGAAAAAATGAGGGGCTCTCGATTTTCACAACATATCAGGAGTCGCAACGAGACAGTTGAGCGCTGCAGAATAGAGGAGTGCTTTTTGATAGCCGTCGGGCTTAGCGTCTTATACCATATACCCCACCCTGAGCTGAATTGTCAGTGCTCTTCCTGCAGATCGAGCTCTATTGCCTGAGGGAGTTACCCTGCACAGACCATGGCTTTCTCTGTCTCTCTTTAAGCCTGAATACCTAAATTTGCTTATCGGCTTCTTTTTCTTCTCTTCTTATCCTCCCCCCAACCCCTCTTCCTTTCTCTCCCCCGTCTGCCTCCCTCTCCACACACTCTGCCCCCGTGCTGGACTGCCTGTTCAGTGCGTGACGATTTCTTCGGTAAGACGCACGCAGGGGCCTTAGTAGTCCTTCATTGTTAATCGTGCACCCATCCATCCAACCCCTTTTCTGTGTTCAGTCACCCCCCTCACCCCCCACCACCCCCAAGCTTTGCTTGTGAGCCACTGTCTGTGTCCTTTCTGGGCTTAGAAGTGAGGATTGTGCTCTTTCCTCCATCTGAATGGTGCATTGGGCCTTTTGTTGTCTGGTATTCTGTTGTTTTGTCTCCACGTGGCTGAAGCTGTAACAGATCAGGTAGCTCACACCATAAAATGTAAAACCTGACTGGAGTTCCTTCAGCTTTGACATTTCAGGTCCTTGCAGTTTCCATAGAAAGCTGAGGTGGTGGTGAAAGCTGGTGGCAGCCTATTCCTGACTGCCACCTGCAGCTTTTCCAATGAAAATAATTTTTTGTGGATTGTGCAAGTCATGCTTTTCAGGTGGTCTCCCTGACAGAACGTTCTAGGTTTGGCAGAGCTGTGTTCTTTAAATGATCACATACCAGTGGTTGTACTGAAGAGTCTTCCTTTCCCATAATCAGGTCTCCAGAATCAAAATGCTCTTCACATTATAGGTTAATTATAAAATATTATAGGAAGAGAGTCAAATGCAGCCAAAAAGATGTCCTGGTGGAGTATCCTAAGCATGGCATCAGTGTGCTTTTTTGCTTCCAATGGAAATTTTGCCCTTTTGAAAACATTTATTCTGCAGAAACATCAGTATAACCATCTACAGCAGGCTTGATTTTCTCATGCTTTAAATCATTGTCCTCTTGTCGTTGGCTGCTTTCTTACAATAGGGGTGATATAGACAGCATAGATAAGATAGAGGAGGCTTTGCGAGTGAGAAAGGCAACAGGCAACAACTGAGCAGTAAGGATTAAAAGTGGATTTCTGTCTCATCCGATACAGTGGAATACTTCCCGTAAAGTTAAGAGGCGCACACAGGCTCCTCATCTCCCAAATGAATGTTAAAAAAACTGCCCCATTTCAATTTTCTGCATTGAAATGTTGCCCCGCAGCCTTGTTTTACTGCAGACAGATATGGGGACCGACAGTACTGCAAGTGCTGAACCATGACGAGTGTAGCTGACAGAGCTGGTCTTGTGCGGAAGCACGCTCCCTCTGCTCCGTCAGCATGTAGTAATCCCACAGACAACAGCAGCAGTCACTTTCCCTTTTGTACGATGGGCCATTCCTCTTGCAATGCTCCATTCCAGATCGGGGCAGGCAGTGCTTGTGTGTGACACAGGCCACCTTCTGCTACCCTTCCTGTGTTGGCTGTGTAGACGGTTGCCTAGTTTGATTGAGAAACTCGTACTTTCCTATTCTGACAAATGTCAGGATTATCTCCAAGGAGCACTTCATGTTTTATTGAGCAGAAAGCAGCAAAAGGGCACCAGTGTTTTTAGACAAGGAAACGACCCAAGTGAAGAGCCTGAAAAACGTTTCTGACATAAAATGACTTGCGTTTCTCACTACTGTCAATGTCAAAGTAGAAGCTCCACAAGTTCTGTTTTCATTGATTCGGGTTTCCCAGCTGCATCTCTTCAGTTGTGTGATTTCCTCCTTTTTTCCATCCAGTGGCTTCAGTTATTCAGCCTTGGTTCAAACGGTGAAGACACTTCCTCATGCTACCTGTTCCTTTCTCAAGATAGCTTTCAGTCAGACATTTGGTCACATTAAAAAAAATCTTTCACATCATTAAAATATGCGCAATGTGGATGGTGAAGCACTGTGGAGCTTCAGCTGGCACCCAAATATAGCTATAAGCAAACATGAGCTTATATATTATATACTGTATATATGAGCTATATATAATATATATGAGCTTATATTATAGTTAATTATAACACACAGCTGTTGAATCTGTTTAAGTACATTTAAGTGATAGTAAAAAGTAAAGAGAGATTCTGAAACTTTCCCAAAAAACTTTCCACTTTTTGATGTGGTTGATCAATGGGGATCTTTGACTAACTCCTGTCATATGAGACCCCAGATAAGCCAAGCATTTGAATCAGCCTGATATATTTGTAATCATCACTGCTTCACTGTGCCTCTAAAACACTTTATTTAAAAACCTAGGACTCCAGTTTGAGCTTTTAGCGTAAAGTCACCCTATTGAGATGGAACCGGCAGCCGATCTCGATCTCTCCTGGCGCAGACAGAACCCAAGTGCTGGGGCAGGGAGACCCACAGGCAGCATGCAGGGAACTGCACAGAGCTGTGGGCACACGGAGACTGGGCTGAGCGAGCAGCCTGGAGCTGGCTCGGGACACAGGGAAGAGCTGCTGTGTGCGCAGACAGGTGGCGGGCTGTGGGAGGTTAGGAAACCAGGGTGAGAACACAGTCAGGGTCGTGATGAAGCAATCAGGGCTCAAAGCTGGTGAGAGCCAGCTAAGAAGAGCCCAAAGTACCAACAGGAAGTGCAGGAGACAAAGTCGGAGCAAGCCTGGGTCCGAACCCAGATACACAGTGTAGATAAATCTGAGGGGTGATCTGGGAGGTGATGTACCAAGCCAGCAGAGGTCAGCATTCTGAACAAAGCACAGCTGATGCAATAAGCTACAGAAACAGTGGCAAAAACTCAAGGTGCTCTGAACTGGAACTCCATGACAGAGTCTGTTAGATCCCAGTATTTATCCTGTGAAACTCCTGGAGCAGTTTTTCAGCGGTCAGTTAATTGGTTTCCGTGGTAATCAGAGCAGGGAGACGGGTTGACGGTGATAAAGCTAGCGGGCCCTGCTGCCGAGCAGTGGAGACAGACATAACACGAACTCCCAGATGCTGGGGGCCCGAGCCCAGGTCAAATCACAAGCGGGCTGTGCAAAGGATTCTCTAAGGAGATGAGCAGACCTGGCTAAGTGTTCCTGGGAAGTGGTGTTGAGGTTGGTCAAAGAGGGCTCATTCAGCTCCCGGTGAAACAGCAACTCCTGGGCCTTCACAGGAGCCAGCAGGCTGGTCATGATGTCATGAAGAGATGCACTCCCTCCTCCAGTTTCCTGTTAGGTGCTGCAGAGCTTGCAGCATGTTAAAAATATGTAAGGGGGGGTGGCTTGATGGGTGCGTGGGTGGGAGCAGCACGTTTGCCCCTTCCTCATCCTCTTCCACCATACAGGAGCCTTAGGGGAAATATAAGAAAGCAATTGGAGAGTCCAGATTAGGTGTATAAAAATAAATACGCAAATATAAATGTTTGAGAACAATCCAGCACATGCTTGAGGTAAAGCAGATATCCTTTCCATATATTGACTGGATGATTTCCCTGGATTGTAAACAGTCATTTATTACTGGAATTCACAAACGTTATTCTAATATAAGCTTTCTATGACACTATGAAACCGAAAGTATTACAAAATAAATCGCAAGGAAAGTGGACTAATTATTCTACGTGTATGTTATTTGTATAGAAGCTGGACTGTCCTAAAGTGTGTTTTGAACCTATTGCTTTAAGTAGCATGCAGTGAACATTTTTCCTTGAGTTACCAACCTTATATTATCATGCTAAGCTTGTCACTCTGGATAACACTAAATCATTGATCGTGCTCCAGGCAGATCATGCATCAGGCTGATCGCACGCCAGGCAGACCGCGCACCAGTATGATAGTGCACCAGTCTGATCGTGCACCAGTTGATCGTGCACCAGGCTGACCGTGCACCACGCTGATCTTGCACCATCGCAGTGCATTCTACCCTCTTCTGTTCCAGCTTCAGTGGCCAGGCTCCTCTGCTCTTAGTGCATTGCCTCGCCTTTGCTCACTCCCTTGACCAGTGACCGCAGCACCACGACACTGTTCAGGGGTGTCTGGAAAGGACTTGTGAGCTTAAAATCATGCTTGTTTCCCTTTTGTTTCTGTTCCATCATTTTATCCATATTTCTCGGTTTTTGCCTTTTATATCACTGCAAGAGTGCGATTTGTATTTCCTTTTCCCATTGCTCTGGTGCTGTGTGTAAATGTGGGTACGTCTAATTATTCATTCCATAGACACCAGGTATTGCAGTCTGATTACAGGCCTTTCAAGTAACAAGAAGCTGGGTTCAGCTAGAATACAATTATTCTTCCCCATATTGTACAGTACATACCCCATGCTTAAACATTTTTTTAACATTCTCACTTTTACACAGTTGAAGAGTTTCCACAGTCACAAGGAATAGAGACACTCAAGACTTCGATGTGTTTGAGGATGTTTATTGAGTATGTAGGTCAAGTGAATTGTGGTTTAACCCCCTAGGCTGAGAAAGACAGGGACAGGGGTCCCTGCAGAGTGAGGAGCGACCAAGGGGCAGCTGCCCAAGTGGAGATGAGATGGAGGAGGGATGCAGGAAATGAAATGTGAAAAGAGAGGGATTTGTTATCATATATAGCTTCAAGAAATGATGTTTGGGAATGATTATGATTTAGAAAAGCTGAAACAAAAGTATCTAGGTTGTCATCCTCCCTGCTGAGCTCCAGTTAAGAATGTCCATTCGTTCTGTGTCGCATACTGTTTTCTCTTTATGGTGTGTGTGTGTGAGAGAGGGTACTGCCCTTTAACCTTTCAAAAAATACCTAAAAATATAAGAGGTTTTTTTTTAGTAATAGGGAGCATGATACAAGTTTAGAGATTTAGGACATATTATCAAATCAAACCATTTATTTTTCTTATTTCTTGAAGTCAGCATATATTGTTACCTTGACAACTCTAGCAAGTAAAGTAATCTTACATTTTAGTTTTTAAGAGATAGTCTGTGTTATCTGTATTATGGCCCTCTGTCTTTTATTCATGTGGATTACAACATATTTTGAAGGTATAATTTTAATAACACAGAATCTAATGAAAAAGCTAAAATTTTAAGTCAGCAAAGTTTGCCACCCAACTTATTTTAACCAATTTAACATTTAACATGTTTAACGTCCTGATTATATATATTTTTTATTTCCTTTTCTGCATCAAGTAAAAGCCTTCACAATGAACTCTGATGTACATTGCACTGAGCACTAGACCAGTTGTGTTCAATCTTTTTCATATGGTTGGCAATTCATACCCTGATTCTTGGGCCCAGCCTGCTGGACTTTAAAGCAATGTTTGAGATTCTAAAATAAATCTGTTGCTTGAGCAGGAGACAAAGGCCGAGAGCTACAGGGAGCACTGACAAGAACACTTTGTCCCAGCCATGCAAATGCTGTCCCAGGTGAAACTGAACACCCAGAAGCATGTAGCTGGAGCTGGACGGGATTGAGCCCGTAGACTCAGCGGGACACTACTGCTGGGCGAGCTGCGCGAGGAGGACACAACGAGCTGTGCTAACGCTATGTGGGCTGTCTTGCAGGAATGGGGAAGGAAGTGGAAAACCTGCTGACGGAGAACAAACAACTCCTTGAGACCAAGTAAGAGACTACAGCGGAGCATTTAGCACAGGGCTTCCCAGTCCCAGCCCTTCGGACCACCAGAACTGCTGGGTTTGAATCCAGCTGAGCTCTCAATTGGATGCCTGTTGGAGCTAATAAGTTGCTTGTTTGGAACCTTATTGGACCCCAGGACCAGGGCGGGGAACCCCTGCACTAGCAGTCTGATTCAGTCATTTCATTGTACTAGAATTTCAGACAGTTTGCACACCTACAGAGATCACTTACAGCAGCTCTGAGATGACAGTGTAAAGATGTGGCTCCTGATCTCAGTTTGAAGGGTTCAATGTGTGCCCAAGGTGAGAAACTTTACTATTTTTGCTACTCAAGGGCCCTATGAAGGCATCTCTTAATCAGATTTTAATTTGTTACTGCCAGTGACAAACTGGAATATTATAAGTGTTATGCAATATTATGAGAGTTCATTCTACCATTTCTGCCTGAAAATGGAAGTTTATTGAGAGCAGCTGTGTTCCCTGTTTAAAATAAGGTTACAAAGGAGACCACTCAACGGATCCTGAAAACTTTCTCAGGGCCTTAAAAAATTCAAAGAAGCAAAACATTAGTACACTACAGAGTTTTAGATAATTTTTAAATCAAGATAAATTCTGAGAATTTGCTGGTTTGATCGTCATAGACTGGCTTGAGTTAGCTGTTTTCCTAAAAGCCTTGGCTTGTTTCTTGCAGTACGTGGAATCTGGGGTATATTGGTAATCATGCCTTAGATATATTTGGCCTTTCAAGGAAGGAGTCATGACTGGCTCAGTGGTGCACCATGCAGTTTCCTGTCACTGGACGTGGCTGTGCCCTCACAGGAATGCCCTGAACATTGTGAAGAATGACCTGATTGCCAAGGTGGACGAGCTGTCCAGCGAGCAGGAGGTGCTGAGGGAGGAGTTGGAAGCAGTGAGGCAGTCCAAAATCAAGGTGGAGAACCGGGTCAAAGAGCTGGAGGAAGACCTGAAACGGTGAGGGACATCAACCACCTTAACTTTATTATCTGAGTTTTGTTCCAAATGATCTCTGTATCACTGAATTGTACACATCACCTCTTGAATTGGACCTCCTTAAATTGTTATATGCCTTTACAAATTGATCATTTAAAAGGTGCCTATAACACCTGCTGGACCAGCGCTCTCCAGGACCGGAGGTTGGAGATTTCTACTGTACAGGGTAAATTATAAACATTAGGTGGTCTAATCAAAAAACAGAATTGTGAAATCAGAGCACCGCATAATGAAACTTGGTTCACATACAAATAGAGAGTCTGTTTCAATTGCCAGGGGCAGTGTAGCCTAGCTCATTGTGACCTCTGCTGATGTCCATGATTACTTGTCTATATCCTCTGGTGGACATCTGGAGGATGGAGGTTGGATATATCTCCTGGGGGACATCAGTGAGGTTGATGCAGGTTCTATATATCTCCTGGTGGACATCCGTGAAGTTGATGGAGGTTGGATATATTGTCTTGTGGACATCAGCAAAGTTGATGGATGTGTCTCTTTTCTTTGTCCATAGAAATGTGTCCCCAAACTTCCATTTATGCACTATCTAGTTGTTTCAATAAGCAGTGTTTCAATAAGGGTGCTGTGGGTGGGACCAGCTATGTTCCTGAAAGTCCCTGCCTGCCTGTTTCCTGTTCCGGCGAGAAGGAACAAGGATCCCATTGGGAAGTCTTGCTGAAAGTGCTGTACTTCAGCTCCAGCCTAACACATTCTAGCACAGTTCAGTGGGGAGGCCGGAGTGTCAGCAAATTCCTTTCTTTGAGTTGCCACCCAGTCTTTAACGGGATGTGCTTTGACACTGGGTAAGTTGTCTTAGTGCTCCATTAGAGAAGACATGCCAATATACAGTAGGTATAGTTCAAAAGTCACAACCCTGAAAAGAGGAAAAATAATCCACGTAACACGGGATGTTCTGCATGCTTTGATTTCGAAGGGCACTTTAAAAACTTGGCACTTTATTAAAAAAGTGTCTTTATTTATTTCTGTACTGTAATCATTATTATATTGGTGGAATGATGACTGATTTGGGTAACTAATTGTCTGTGTTTTTCCAAGTATCTTCTAGTCTGAGAAGCTAAGGGGTTTCTTGCATTGAATTGCTTTTACTGTGGCTTTAAAATAGACTCATGCAGTGGTGACCCAGATACTGCTTATTTCTACTTATTTCTATTTCTAATTACTTTATTGTTTATTATTGGTTGGGAGGATTGGTTTCTGACTTTCAGGTCTGCTGGTGCTCATTTTCTGCTGCGTTTTTTCTCCTCCAGATTGAGAGCAGAGGCCATAGGAACCACACAGGAGTCCAAGGAGGAGGAAACTGACGATGTAAGCATAGTGAATAGTGTATTATTATAATCATTGTAACGCATTATTCCATAATACAGGTGGAAGCATAGGGGATAGTGTATTATTATAATCCTTATAATGAATTATTATGTATTATGGATGGAAGTAGAGGTGTGCTTTCTTAGTCTCCCTGCAACGTTACCTTCTGTCTTGCAGTATGTTGAACGCGTGCTGTATTTCCCTCTGTACAACCACGGTAAATAGTATTACACATTATCTACAAAACACATGGGAAATACCACAAATTAGTGTTTTCTTCATCATTTGTGTTGTAAATATGGATCATAATGCATAATGTACATGAAGAAATGTCTGGGGGCATCAGCAATCTTATTAACAAAACTAAATTCTACTAAAGGAAAAGTGTTCTCACCTTTTCTTTAGTTGCTTTGCATGCCTCACAGCTGCATCTTTTTGTAAATATTAATACCTAAAACCCCTAACTATCCCTTTTTTTAACCTCAAATGCTAATTTATTTAGTCAGCTGGAGCAAATCAAGTAATATTTGCCCATTGCTTTCCCAGACCCTGCCTCACAAATTCTAACTCTCAGTTTTCTCAGTAGTTCATCACGTCTGAGTTCTAAAGTGATCTAATAATTTGTTTCTTTCTTCATAACACCTAAAATTCTAAGTAACCTGTAAAATGACACCCATCCCTTGATTTACAAACACCTGGTTCCTGAAATTTCACTAGAACAAAGCGTGCATTTTGATATCTGTTTTTTTGCAGTTCCAAAATTTTTGCTACAAAGTGTGCCCTAAATAGTAAA